CAGTCTTTGGAGACTAGAAACTTGAACTTGATTGAAGAGTACATGGTTGAACAGCAACTGGATGAGAGGATGGATGGTTAGATGGATGATGGATGACTTGAGGATGAGCGAGTGAGAGTAGGTGGATGGATGGGGAGGTGAATGGATGAGGGACTTCATAAATGGATAACTAGACAGGTGAAGTGACTTACATCAACTTGATCAAAAGAGATTTGAGGACTTAGTCTCAAGATGGTGAGAAAGAGCAGACTGGGACTGATCTTGGTTTTAAAAGAACATCATTATCCTGTGGACAAGTAGTTATTAGCATGACGCCCTCGGTGACTCCAAATCTGCTATTCCGGGTGAATCCCTAAGGATGGTGGCAGCACTGAATATGTGTTGAATGACCAACTGACAGAACTTAATTTGAAGGGAGTCCATCGGATTGTCGAGATATAGAAAGACGACCTAAACGTCGGCTTATGGGTGCTGACAAAAACATTTCTGTAATTCCTAAGAAAACAATGAAGAAGTAAACAGGACAAGAGGGAAGAGTGTGTGAACAGCTATTAAAACAAGATGGAGATTCCTTTCCTAGTGTTCAGAACTTCAATATGCCATTTCTGCAGAGCAAATAGGCACTAACCCAGCCTGCGTCCCCCACCATGGCTTTCTTGAATCACAAAATGTTCTGGCACTACACTACTCCCTGGGAACCTGTGCTTCACATTATTCCCCTGCCCTGGACCCTCCCTCGCACCCTTCCACATGGAGCATGCTCAGTGTTTGTCAGGGGGCTGGAGTGTTCCCTGTCACACCAATGCTGCTTTGCCCAGGAGAAGACTTACTGGCATGATTTTATTAGGGTGAGACTGCATTGCCTTTAGAGACAAAGATGAAGTATTGACAAATGTCTGCTTCCTCTGATGACCTGAACTGAAAGGGACACTTAAAAAAAAAAAAAAGTGAAAGACTTACTTTCTTTTAAAATTAAAAGAGACACAGAATTTGGAGCTAGAACAGGAAAACAGTAAGAAGGTTTCAGAAATACTTCAACATCAATCAATAAAGCCCTTGCACAGTTCATTTTGATCTCTGTGAGAGTCTTCTAAGGAAGTTCTCTCCTTTGGCTGCACAACAGAATAACCTGTAGAATTGTTTGTTTCTATCCTGATGCCCTGACCTGACCCCAGAACATTGCAGTAGGAACAAGTGCCAAGGCTTGGGAACCTCCAGAGAAGTGAAATAAGTAGGTCCCGGATCTTTCAGCTCATGATGGAGATGAGATGAGAGTCCTCCATTCACTCTCAAACTCATCATCCCGTGTTCTTCCAGGAACCTGAGAAGATCTGTCATTGAAATGTATTGATGCCTTGCTCCATGCCAACACTCGGTTAAGTGTGTTATACCAGCTAACCCCTTTCATCCTCCATGTAGCACTCAGCAATTATGGTAACTATCTCCAACTTACAGATAAAACAAGGCGCAGATTGTTCAGACTCTTACCTAACACCCCACAGGAGGTAGGGAGATTCCAAGGATCACCTTTGGCCAGCAGTAAATAGCCCAGTTCCCTAGGACTTAGTTTACCCTAAGTGCTCTTCTCTTACTCCACATTCCCCAAATCTCATGTCTTCTGGGGTCATCCTCTCACTAATAATTCCCAAATCCTGTCTTTGGCCAATCAATGCTTTCATACCCAACCACCATTTGAATATGTTCTATAAGTGCCATAAAATCAACACATTCCAAATAAATCATCTTGTTCCCCAAATCCTTGTTCTTCATATGCCACCTCTCTCAGAGATCACAACAACCAACCACCTCTTTGTTCAAGCCAGACGACAGCATCATCCTTAATCCATCAGTTCCTTCATCACCCACAAGCAACTGGCTGCTTCTCCACCATCTTGTCACATGCGGAGGGTTGTCTGCATGGCCACGCTGCCTTGAGTCTCCCTTTGCCTCTCTATGCCATGACCCATTATTCTAAAACACAACTGGGACCAGGCCATCTCAAAAGGACAATTATCCAAAGCCCTCATCTGGCTTTCAAAGGATATTAAGCCTTCCTGGATACAAAGAACTTAAGTTCTTTGGCCAACAACCAGGACGAGACATTGGACCAGAGTCTAAATATAAAACAATGTGACTCCTAGAAAGAGGGGCCCTGGTGTAAGTGGAGAGATTACTGACTTCCGGTCTGCACTGCAGGTCTAAGGACCACTTTTTCTACAGGACGGCGCCAACAACTCCCATAAAACACACCTATCTTAACAGTAGAGCTTCCAGCCTCACCTCCCACCACCCCTGATCCCTCAGAACTGACACTAGATGGACTCTTTTCTGTTTGTATCACCCTCTTTTAAAGTGTTGCGGCCCTTTGCCACATGCTGTTCTTTTTGTTTGTTTTGTCCTTCCTCTCTCCCCTTCCTGGAACACTTACTGGGAACTCAAGATTCAGCCTGAGTTCCTGTCTTTGGGATGTCTTTTCCAGTTCATGGAGCAGATGGGGCTTCTCCCTCCAGATTCCAATGACTTTGCTCCGGCCCTATCCCATGGTACTGGTACACTGCTACTCATTCACACCCCTGCTTCTCCCCCAACTGACTTACCTTTGCATCTATGACCACAGGCACCTCCTGCCCTGGCCTGGCATGCTGTAGCGTGAAATCCTCCCTGAATGAACATTTTCTGAATGAATATATGTAGCTAAATGAAGAAAACCACTTTCATCCATATCTTTGAAAATATTTTCCAAGTTTCCCTGACTGAGCCAATTATTCTTGGAGTATGGCAAGTTTCTGAAAGTTTCACAGGAAACCCTGAAGTCTGGATGTAGCATCACACACCGGTTGTATTGGATTGCCGGGAAAGTCATGACGCATTTTTCCTAGACGTCACAACTTTTCCAACAGCCCAGTGATTCTTCAGGTCCTTGATTTCCAGGGACGAGCTGTTACAGCTACTGTCAGAACAAGTGCTTACAGTTTCAAGCTGATATTTTTAAGTGTCCTTTGGTATCAGAGCAAAAATTACACATAAGAATGATAAAATAATCATAATTAAAATAGGCTCTATGAAAGTCTTCACATTATTTTCACATTATTTTGAAAATCTTCACAAATTTTCTTGTTGTTATCAATACCATTAAAGTCATGTAGTGGGGGAGATGAACGTTTCTTCAATCAACAGATTGGCTGGCAGTCTGCTTCTGTGTGTTTTTATTCTACCACGTTTTTGCCTATCTCAGCAACATTAAGATAGTTGAGCTATAACCAGATCAATAGCTTTCTGCTCACCAATCCTTACAAAAGTCCAAGGGACACAACGAATACTTCAAAGGCAACAATCTAAGAAAATGCAAACACGTCACTTTCCTGGAAGCTTTTCAAGCTGTTCCTACATCATACAGAGCCTGTGACTTTACCGTGCGCTTCCAACCATCATCTGAAAGCATCAGCACCAGCTCTTTGCCATTTCTTGGTATAGAAGACAGTCACACAAGAAACACTCCTATTACCTTGGTAACAGTTCAGTTTGCCAGGTACTTTTCATTTCATCGTTCCTTAAAGTTTTATCTCAGAACCTTTCTTAGAGATTCCCCTTGAAGGAACCTGAGCTGAACCACTGAACTGGTTCACTTTTATTTATTGTCCACTGTGACCTTTAACTCATTATTTTACATTAACCCCTAGACTGCTAGGAAACTCGATTCTAAGTTTGGGGCATGACTACAATAGATATTTTTACCCTGTGTATCTGAATCAACCAACTTCCCCATCACATTTTATAGCTCTTGATCTGTCTTCCTTATTTTGTTGGTTCTATTTTATACCAACCTCAAATCTCGGGGTGGGGGTATAAAAGCAGAACACAATGATTGCATGATAAATTAAGGAAGATACCAGTGCCCAAACACTTTCTTAAATGTGATCACCTTGGCCTTCTAAGTTTAAGTGAATCCAAAATTAATTGCTGATTTAGGGCACCTTAAACTTGACAAAGGACTATGAGAGCAAAATATGTACTTTACTCACATTAAGGTATAAGGTATAATCTACAAATACTCATCAAAAAAGATGTAGCGTTTAGCAGAGTAGGAAATTTGTAGACATCTATTGACTAAATAAAGGCATGAACAAACATCAATTTTCTATTCAAAAAACTCACTTAATAGAAAGGTTGAAATTATGAACTCTTTCACAAAGGAGGAAGAGAAGATTAGTAGCTTGTATGTATGCCAGGCTTAGTAGTTCTAGCTCTGTACAAAGCACTTAGCAAAACAGCAGCTTAATAATCTCAAAAACATGGGCCTTTCTGGTAACACAGGGGTTAATGTCTCAGCGCTATCAAGCTATCGCAAGCTACTGCAGCACAAGTTCAATCCCCAGCCGGGGAGCTGACCCACATGGCACAGGAGACCTCCCTGTCTCGATTGCTGCTCCCCTCAGCAGTATATTTCAATAGATCCACCTGTTCTGCTCCCCGCTCTGTCTCTGGTGAATCCTCTCATCCCCTGCTTCTCTGGCCCAGTTCTTACATGTGTAAATAAAAATAAATCTTAAAAAAAAAAAATTGGTGATGCATACCTCAATTTGCATAGGACTACAAACAACGGTACCTTCCTTGATCTGCATCTTTCAGACCTGGGTACTGTCATAATCAATTTCAGATGAGGAAACCCAGGCTTAGAGAGCGACAATGGCCCAAACTCACAGCATGAGAAGCGGTGGAACTGGGGTCCTGATCGTCTGCTCTTCCCTCTCCACTGCACGACTGGTCTTTGAGGGGGGTTCACAAGTCTATACCACACATTCTGTTTCACATGCTACATATCACTAACAAGTACCTCTTACTTTTGGAACAGCCTTGCCTCCAGCTACTATTCCTACTTTGCTGTCACCACTAGGCTCCTGTCCTGGACTGCACTCATGCCCTTTCATAAATAGGGACCATCTGTTTATGATGGTCCCTCTTCCACCCAATCCCAAAGCAATTCCTGGGAGGAGACCTACCTGGTATAGAGGGGCACTCCCAGCTCAGAGAAACTCCTTCCTTCACATTTCCAGGTAGAAGAAACTCACTCCCATCTCAAGGTGCCTCTGCAGGGAAATAGCGCCTCCAAGCAGCCCTTCTTCATCTCACCCAGGGGATGTTCCTGGAATTTTCTCTGCAGACATTAAACACCTAATGTAAATGCTACAGGGAGCTTGGTATTCAGAGGGGCACTGATGGCAATTTTTAAGCAATGAGTAGATTCCTTCTGTAACATTTATACCTAGTGGGTTTACTTAAAGAAGCACCTACTGCTCCAGGTGCAAGCTCGGAGTTGGTGGATACAGGACTTTTCTGGCCTCCACTACATCCCTCTCCTTCCCTCCTTCCCTGTCCTGCTTCCTGTTCCTCCAGAAATGAGTGTGTAGATGTGAGGCCCCAGCTTGGGGGCTGAGGAAGGGCCCAGTGGTTTGCAGTCTCAGTGAAGACCACGACTGGCAAAGCCATGAGCTAGATGGTCTACAGGGAAAGCTGTGTCCAGATTCATAGCAGCTATCACTGATATTACTTTCATTTTTACACTTGAGACAGAAGTTGGTGACTCTTACTCATGGTTGCATCACTGAGGGCACAGAGAGACTGCGATCCTCACCCTGACTGGGGTCTTCAGGGATGTGTAAGGAGCCGAGGAGCACCCTGAACCTGAAACATGATTCAGGAAGACTTTTTCTTGACTGCTGCTCACAATCTCCACCCCCCTTCCTATTTCTCTCAGCAGCCAGTTCCAAACCTTCAAGTCCTCCCCACACTTACAGCTGTGTGTACCCCAAACTGGCTCACTCAGTCACAGCAAAGAAAGCTGCTAGGTCCTGCGTTCTGACAGTCCCTCATCCATACCTCCAGTACAGCCTCTCCCTTTTCCTCCTCCTCCTGCCCCTCCACCCCTATCCACCTCCCCTTTCCCTCTCCCCTGGCCCCTCCCCACCTATCTCAAGGTCACCTGTCTGTCAATTACCTTCTCTCCCTGCAGGACCTTTCAGTGGCTCTTTCCACCCGCTCACCCCCTCAGTACTCCAACACCCTCTCACACTGCAAAATAAATAAATAAATGTGAAAAGCCCTTCATTCCAATTGCCCTCCAGCTATTGCCTTACCTCTCCTGGCACTTGGCTCAACTCTCTTCCTCTCTGTTCCAGCACAGACCACAAGCTGGCATCTAGCACATTCTGCTACCAAAACAGTTCTTTCTGGGGTCACTATGACTTTCTGTTGACCAAAGCCAGTTCTTAATATGAAGACCCATCCTCCCCCCTGCTTACAGTCATTGTTTCCTCTGTCATCCTCCCCCACACTGCATCCCCAGCCCAACCCACCCCCTCAGCACCCCCACTCCTGCCCCCGCACTCCCCCAGGCTCCTGGCCTCAGTAGCCCCGGGCAGGAGCAATCTAGGCACAGTCTTGGAGGGTCCCAGGCACAATCGGGTGACCTGGAGGTTTAGCAGGTTTGAGCTGACTAAGATTCTGGAGCATCTATCTCTACATATCCCTAATTGAGAAAGACTCCAGGCATCTGCAATTCCTGATTTCCAAGATTCCAGGAAAGACTAGGTCCCCTTTGGATTAACACACTCCTTTAGATATGTTAAAATTCCCGACAGGCTTGCTCTGATCAGCTGCTTTCTTTCTTTTTGGATTTGCGTATCTCTGATCCCAACCCTGTTTGCCTCCTAGAAAACCCACCTCATTTACCAGGAGCTAAACACTGACACATTTCTGCTCTAAGTATCAGCAAAAAGGGGTTCTGAGTCTGGCACAAAATCATCCACCTGGAGTTAGTGATTTTCCCACCTACCGACCTTGTTCTCCCCTTGCCCCCCTCCAGGTCCTTGAAAGGACCTCCTGACACCTTCCTGTCGTGCAAGGCCCCTGCCCCAACACCTGGTCAAGCAGAGTCCCCCTCTCACTTCCCTCCCAAGACCATAAACCGAGTATACTCAAATACTGAGTATTCTTGACATTCTATTAGAGTCATTTGGGGCTTGCTATCACATTTATTTTCATTTTAAAAGAGTGTTAAAAAGCAATCTATACCTGTCTGATACCTACACAAACACCCCGAGCCATTATGTCAATAACCTAGTAAATGTTTCACTCACTGGTTTCCAGCTGCCATAGGGAGAAATCCTACCATTTGCCAGATGCTCAGATGCTGCCTGGAGAACAAATCTATAAATTGCATTATCCTGGAGAGGTGGAGCATAGGGCAATAGTAAATTAAGAGTTTTGAGGCCACTGACTATTTCATATCTATTTTTTAGAAAGTAAAAAAAAAAAAAAAAAACAAAAAACCATGGTATACTTGGAAAATACACAGACTAAACTCGGATTCTTCCTGGACAAAACTGGACTCTAATCCTGACAGTGCCACTTACTACCTCTGTGCATTCTCAGGGACTCAGTTTCTTCATCTACACAATTGACACAGTAACAGCAAGATGCCTGCCTCTCTGGGGATAGCTGTAGTGATTGATCTGAAAGCCCTTTGTGAAGCTATAAACTGTTACTCAAATGGGCAGCAGAATTGTTTTTGCACGTACCATTGATGTTTTGTATGTCTTGAAGGAAAAATTATCATCTGAGGCTGCATTCCAGCTTCCACACATTTGACCTTCATCACTAGAGATATGGAGGCAAAAAGTGAAAGGGAGGAAATGTTGGGGGGAAAGGATGTCCTGAATAAACTCCACAAGTAGGTTTTATGGAGCCCCACCCCAGACCAAAGAGATCCAAGACACTAAGGACTACAAACCCCATAATGTCATCACCACTGAAGGGAGGATTGCTGGCAACTGAGGGTAGAGTTAAGCAGCCAGGTTTGCTATATAACTGGACATGTGGGCCTTGGGGGTTTTTCACCAGCTTTCAGCATGCTTTTCTCCCTGAATTACTCGTTTCTTCATTTCCCCTTCTTTTGAAAACAAACCCTTTATTAGGGCCTCCCCGGTGGCACAGCAGTTGAGTGCTGGGTTGTGAAGCTGCCCGCAGCCTCTGCAGCGCTGGTTCCATCCCCGGCTGCTCCCCGGCCACCGGAGGAGGGTCCCACATGGCACGCAGACCTCTCCTGCCGCCTGCTGCTCCCCTCAGCAGTGTTCTGGCTCTGGTGAATTCTCTCACCCTCCCGTGCTTCTGACTGTACCCAGTGCTTGTATAAATAAATAAATAAATCTTTAAAAAAAAATAATAAACCCTTTATTAACCTTTTTGTGTATGCCCACAGTTGAGTCTTCTCGTAAGTCCCTTTTAAGTGTGGTGAGGCCCCACAGTCAGGTACCCATTTCACACTGGGATTGCCCTGTAACAAAACTAGGGCTCAAATCAAGAGGCTCATCTTTGCCTTGCCCACTGAGTGGCTCTGGACATGAGATGACTACATTACTTTACAAGATTCCTTGGGAGGTAACGATACAGGAAATGGCAAATAGCTTCCAGAAATCAAAGATCTGGGTCCAGTCTTAGGGCATGCAATAGCATTAGCCCTTTATGCAGAGGATAGATGGAGAACATTTACCACACTTCTTTTCCCTTGGCAGTATCTGCCACAGGAAGATCCAGTGACAAGGAAGGAGAGACTGCAATATCTACCCTTATACCAGTCACTAATCAGGCCCCACCTAGCCTCATGTTCTTGGTGAGGCAGCAGAAGATTGCTGTCATCCAGAGAGCCTGGGTCAGTCACACTGGCTCTATTCTCCCTCCACACCCCTCCACTGGGCATACTCAGGGAGGGGAGCCCTTGCCACCTGGGTACTGCTTGAGCATCAAGTGAGGTCATATGTTTGAAGGACTCAGTAAACACTTATCAAGCTGTACACATGTCAATGGTCAGCATTATTTACAGTAAGTGTATGAGATAAATATTAGGTAGAAACCCAATTAGGTAGAAGCAGAAGTCCCTTTAAAAGGACCCGGTTTGGGAAGTCTCCCTATCATAGATGGAGCTGCAAAAAGGGGCTCTAGGTCAGGGTCAAGAGCACTGGAATTTTGAGATTTTAGGTTTGGATCTTTCCTACATCATTCAGGGTGACAATTTGCATAATCTTGGGCAATTTATTTAATCTCTCTGAGCCTCTGGTTTTTCCTCTGTAAAATAAGAATAATAGCACTTACCTTACAGGTTTGACATGTTGTTTATTTGAGATAATGCACTCAAAACATTTCCACAATGCCAGGCTCTTGCAATGGTTAACAAAGTTCACTTCAGTAAGTAGGTGGGTGGACTGGACTGGACAAAGATAGACTAAAGGAAGTGGAATATAGGAACTGGTTAGTTATTTCTATTTTGCTCGATAGCATGGCTCATTATCATCTAGTTAAAGCTATAAAAATTATACATATTGGCAAGAACTGTACCATCATATGCAAGATGAGGGCTGTCTTCTAGTTTGGGTGGAAAAATGGGGAAATAATGCCTTTCCTTTCTTTCTCTCTTGTCCTGATGTTTCTGGCACAAAAGATAGCTTTGTTGTGTTTTCTTTCTTAATTTCAAAAGAAAATACAAGCCTTGGCCTGAAGGGTGGTTGCAATGAGCTCTGAGGATGCCTTCAAGACCTGAAGCCTTAGGCAGGTAGAGACAGAAGTCTGTGGCTTGCAGGAAGAAAGTTCAGAAAGGTATAAAAGTGACAAACTCCTATTGTATTTGAAATAAAATCATGCTCCTTCCTGGGACCTAGAAGCAACTCTTTGAGTCTAGAAGGTAGGACTCAGGTCTTCCCTCCCTCCACAGCCTTCTGGACCAGCACCATCCCTACTCTCACTCCCTAGGCTCCTTTCACCCGCATACTTTTGCCAGTTACTTGCACATTTGCAATTCAGGTCTCTGATCAAAGTTATCTCCTTCCATCATTCTACCTCATTATCCTTTTTCTTTTCTTTTCTCCCTAGCACTTTATCTAAAACACATTTATCTAAAATTATCTCATTTGTTTACATATTTATACTGTGCCTTTCTTCCTCTAGAATACAAACACTCTCAGATCCAGGTCCTTATCTGCCTCACCTGGCCACTAGACCTCCAGCAATAGAACACTGACAAGGCACTCAGTATGTATTTTGGAATAAAAAACAGATGAATACACATCAACTGCTAATGTTGAAGGGATGAGTCAGGAGCCATGCCTCACCTCCCAGCTGAGCCATATGTGCACACATACAGACTAGGGTTGAGCTGTAGGCATTTTGTCCAAAGAGCAAATGGCAGCCAAGGCCAAGGTGTTGGTACAAGGGGCTCTTGCTGTAGCAGAAACCTGTAAATTTGGTTTTTAGCAGCTTCAAACTGGGGCATCTTTAGGCATTAACTTCAAGGTCAGACATGGCCATGTGGGTTGGATGTCTGTGACATTAAGGCCAAAGACCCGTCCCTCCCTGAATTTAAAAAAAAAAAAAAAAAAAAAAGACAATCTTGTTGAAGGGAAACACATTCCTGAGAAATAGCAGCGCTTACCTTGATTCAGCCCACATTTACTGGGCCAAATCCTGTAGCAGGGTCAGTGTCATAGCACGGATCTCATAGGGTAGATAAGATTAGAATGGGAATAAGGAACAAAGCAGATGGCGGAGAGAGTACTGAGCATTAAATTATACAAGAGCACAGAGGAGGGATTCAGAGGCTCCATCTAAAATTAAGTTCAGGAAAGTCCTGACATTCCATTCCTGTAGAGGTAAGAGTGTGCCCGGTAGAGAAATCCACAAGGAAAACAGCCCCTGACAATCTTACCAGTCTCCCCTGCTCTCCCGGTAAAGATTGCCACTTAGATCTGACATCCTTTCTAGCTCTGCAAACAGTGGCAGGCCTGGGGGCAGACTGACAAGCAGCTTCCCGCTGTTTGCAGAAAGCAGGACAAGATGTTGAACTGCTCAGTTCCTCAGGAAGAATAGCTAGTTCTGACCACATCTTGGGCAGCTCTGGGGTTGGGAGGGGGGGCATGCAAGCATGTGAGGCTTCTTGCTCACACTTGGCAGGTAAAGGCTACACTCCGAGATTTAAGAGAGGCTATTCTAATGTCTCCTTTCAGCAGAGGGTCTGGTCCTTATAGAGTTTACCTTAGAACCTTTGCAGAGGCTTATAATTAAAAAAGGAAATGCCTCTTCTGTGAGTTTTACACCTTGAGGTGCACCTCTGCACGGTGGTCTGTGGAAATAGCAAGCATTTTGGAGTCCACACTGATGGAGGAAAGGAGATACGAGGTGAAGAACCTAACTCACACAAGGAGGGAGGGGTAGAAGAGATGAGTGCAAGCCATTAACCCAGTTATAGAAACCAAGACCCTTAGGCAACAATGCCCAGATCAGGAGGTGCAACACCCAGAAACTATCAGACTGCTATAGGGAGTGTCGGGGACACAAACCATCCACCCACAAAGATGAGCCCCTCCCTAAAGATAAAACCTAATGCAGCCCCCACAATGGGGCAGCACTCCATCTGCCCACCTGTGACTATGCAGGTTCTTCCTTTCACCAACTCTCTCCTGCAGGGCAGCAGCTTCCTACCTGCCTGTGACCTCTACCATGCCAGGACTTCTCTTCACTGACCTCCCTCAGTGGAGGCTGCTCTCCTCAAGGCCACCTGCCTGAAAGCCTCTCTCAGCAAACCTTTTCCTCTCAGGGCAGCTCTTCCTGACCATTTGTGTCTATGCAAATGTCTTTTACAGTCCTATACCTTTTGTAATAAACCTGCTCTTTAAATATAACTACGGGGCCTCCCCAGTGGCACAGCGGTTGAGCTCTGGGTTGCAAAGCTGCCCGCAGCCTCTGCAGCGCCGGTTCGATCCCCGGCTGCTCCCCGGCCACCGGAGGAGGGTCCCACATGGCGCGCAGACCTCTCCTGCCGCCCGCTGCTCCCCTCAGCAGTGTACTTCGGTCCTTCTGCCTGCTCTGCTCCCCGCTCTGGCTCTGGTGAATTCTCTCACCCTCCCGCGCTTCTGACTGTATCCAGTGCTTGTATAAAATAAACAAATAAATCTAAAAAAAAAAAAAAGTAATAGAGCTTATCTTTATTTAAATAAATAAATATAACTACGGTCTCTGCCTTGTGGAGATACTCACCGCATGCCGCCAACACAGGAGCTCTGGTGAAACTTTGCCCAGAGTGAGCCCAAGGACCCCGCACTAACTCCAAAAATGATATCAACACATCTGCCTTCAGCCCTGTGCTGCCCACCACTTTCCTCAAGCGACTTCTTTCCCCCTCCTTGTGGCTCAGTTTCCTCACAGTAATCTGAGGGACTGGATTAAAGCAGTACATTTCAAACATACACGTCCTGAGCCTCCCTGATGGCATGAGGGTTAAGAAGCAACCTATGAAGCTGTCCACAGCCACTGCAGCACGAGTTCGATTCCGGGCCGGCCAGGGGGCAACCCACATGGCACAGCAGACCTCTCCTGACTCGCCCCCTGCTCCCTTCAGCAGTGGATTTCAGTCAGTCTCCCTGTTTTGTTTCTACTCTGTTTCTGGTGAATCCTCTCACCCCTTGTGCCTCTGGCCTGTACCCCAGCTCTTATATGCATAAATAAATCTTTAAAAAAAAAACTATTCAAACATACAAGTCTTGGTCCATTCTGAGGCTCCACGTTGCAGCAAAAATTTAGAATATAAAATACGTGGCTACATCACAGTTAATAGTACAGTATTGCCTGGTGAAATTTTTAATGTCATCTATAAATACTGTTGACTTCACACAAAAAGCATTCAATTGTTCCACCAACAAAATGAGCTTATTTAGAAACAAGAAGGCAATTTGGTTATCTCCGGCACAGGATGCGACACATGCACACTTCCCCTTAATCCAAAGCCAGGACCCCAGTCCACAACCTCCAGAGGGGCTGCCAGGTGAAGATGCCGCCTTCTCCCTGCGCCAAAGCAGGAAATTAATGTCACTTCCAGTCGGAGGTGCAAGGTAAGTTGGGTCCAGTAGTTTGCTGATTGTGCACACGTGGGCATTCCTCTCCCCGACCTTAAATAGGGTTTTTGTGTGTATAAATGTTCACAGCATCTATGTCCTGAAATCAACACAAATTGTACTTCCCACTATGGGTTGCTGGTTTTTAAAAATAGTTGAGGGCCTCCCTGGTGGTTCGGGTGGTTGAGCGCAGTGCTGTGAAGCTGGCTGCTGCAGCACTGGTTGGATTCCCGGTCAGCCAGGGGTATTCCCACATGGCGCGGCAGACTTCTCCTGCCGTGCCCGCTTCTCCCCTCAGCAGTGCTTTTGGTCCGTCTGCCTGTTCTGCTCCCCGCTCTGTCTCTGGTGAATCCTCCTGTGCCTCTAGCCTGTACCCCAGCTCTTGTATAAATAAAATAAATCTTAAAAAAAGAGGGCCTCCCCAGTGGTGCAGCGGTTGAGCACTGGGTTGTGAAGCTGCAGGTTCGATCCCTGGCCACTGGGCGAGGGTCCCACATGGTGCGCAGACCTCTCCTGCCGCCCACTGCTCCCCTCAGCAGTGTACTTCGTCGGTCTGCCTGTTCTGTTCCTGGCTCTGGCTCTAGTGAATTCTCTCACCCTCCTGCACTTCTGACTATACCCAGTGCTTGTATAAATAAATAAATAAATCTTAAAAAAAAAAAAAAAGAAAGAAAGAAAGAAATGAGATAACGGGCCCCTGGGAGCATGGGTGTCCCTGGTGTGACATGACCTCTGTAAAAAATTAAAATAAAATAAAAAAAAAAGAAAAAAAAATAAATAAAAAAAATTAAAATAAAATAAAATAAAAAATAAATAAATAAAATAAAAATAGTTGAAAGCAGAATATATATTGAATTTTCAAGATGAGTTGCAGGGACCAATCAATAGGTTCATACCTCTCCTTGCCAATTTCCCAGAGGACAGAGCCCAGCTCCAAGTGAAAATATGATTGGCTTGTTCACACACACACACACACACACACATACACAAAACCAAAGATAAGGAAGGTGTACGCAGCAGGCCTGCACTGTGACCGGCCTCTCCAAAGGACAGGACTGTAGGGACTTCTACTAACACTGTATGTTAGTTTCATTTGTTGTTTAACTTTGTATAAATGGAATTACAATGTGAATTCTCATGTGGATATAGTGACCTAGAAAAGGAGATGTTGGACGCTGTCTTTTTGTCCTGCATGATATCATCCAACTATAATGAGAAAATAGAGTGACAATGATGGAGTGAAGGCCCGATCTGGGTCAGACTCTGTCCTATGAGCTTTAACAACATCTCAGTTCACAAGGTGTGTGTGACTCGAGGTGTATGTTAACATCCTTGTTTTTCA